GCTGAAGGCCTTATACATTCTTAACTCAGGTCTCCCTAGCCCCATAAAAAATGCAACTTCATAACTTTTTTCATCCTATGATGCTATTCTTTCTGGGTTGTAGGCTGTGTATTTGCAGAATTTACTTTGCTATCTAATTAAGACTTTTCTTGCAGCCAGTGGCAAACGGTAGAGTTCTCCAAATGGATATTTGGAGCTGCTAAGGTTACAGGGCTGACTTGTCCTTTGAATGTGCCTGTCCCCCTCCATTGACTGGAAGGGGCTGAGAAGACCAGTCTCTTTGGGGAAGGTCGCTTAAAAAACTGCCTACATTAAGGCATTATCAATACAACCTGCATGCCGCATGCACAACCTTTTCTGTTCTGTTCTGTTAGTACAGTGTAGTTCAAAAAACCTGAGATTGGGGTGTTCTTACCTTTTCCAGGTATGGGACATTGGAGGGCAGCCAAGGTTTCGAAGCATGTGGGAGCGTTATTGCAGAGGAGTCAATGCAGTTGTGTAAGTTTTCTTGTGTATGCCAATAGAAAATGTGTTTTAAAATATATGTTACTAATCCAGATATGACCTGTCCACCTCAATCACATAAGAAGACCCAATATGATAAAAGTAGCGTGTTTTATGCATCCAGCAACTCAGGTGTAGAAGTAATCGCATGTTACAGGCCATTTTTTCTCCACAGCCTCTATTTAATTCTGTATCTTCCTTTATTAATAACTGCAGGGCTTATACAACTCAAGACTGTTTCATTGCTGTTGTCAATGCGAACACATTTGTCGCATTTCAGATGTTTTAATGCAACTTTCTGCAATGGACAATACCATAAATAACTGTATTCCTATTGGCAGTTACATGGTGGATGCAGCGGACTTAGAAAAAGTAGAAGCTTCAAAGAATGAGCTGCACAGTTTGATAGATAAGCCGCAATTGCATGGAATTCCAGTGAGTATTTTGATTATTATTCTTACCTGAATGGAGACAGTGTAGCCTAAATTCTCATGAATTGGTTCCTCTGGTTCCTCTTGAAAATACTAACTTAAATATGATGCAGCCTTGAGCGCTTTTACAAAACTTATTGTGGAATTTTTTCAGAGGACTCAGCATCTTACCACTGCTGTAATGTGTTTGTACATTTTCTAGTCTAAAGGTCAGGATAGATTTGGAAAAAATGCATTTTCACATGTAGCATTATCAGACAGTAACTATTTCGAGTCAGTCCCCTTGTTGTCTGGGTTTGAACCAGTGATCCAGATGTGTTTCTGGCAGTATCTTAAGGCATGCAAGATTTGTCTTTCTGAAGATTGACAGAAACTAACATCACATAGTATCTTCTGCTTCCAGAGATTGTGAAGGAGCTTGACTTTTTCTGTCCCCTGACTTTTTCTTGACTTTTTAGTTTTTCAAACTAGACTGTATGGAAAAATGCAAATACACATCCATTCTCCATTAGGAAGTGTTAAAGAATAGTATTCTGCTGAAATTCTAGCAGAGGAGTTATGGAGGTGGAGACTAATGTTGTTTAATTAAATATAATCTACCAATTTAGAGCTAGTAGGAATCAATCAGGCTGGCATTGATATTTGATGCTGACATCACCAAGCAGGAGTTCATGCCTTTGATTGCAAGAACGAAAACAATGGTACACGCAAATTAAAAGAAGTTGCTCACAACTTGATGGCTCTTGCTTGGCCCCTTTTTTGTTAGCAAATACTTGGACACTTGGCCAGTTCAAGCAATCAGAGTAATCTGAGGATGAGTAGACAGACAGCCAACATGAAATCATTGTGAGAATAAAGTTCTTACACATCCATTCTCAAAGGAGAATTTTTCAAGTGACTCCATCTTTTTTATAAGGGTTGCTATTATTGTTGCGGTGTTTTATATTAAGTATACATTGAACAAATCCTTAAGAAATCTACAGTCATGCTGTTCATGGCAAGTGACTTTGTCCTTTTGTACTGTCTTTATATCCTGTTTTACTTTGCGCTTTTCCTTCCTGAAATGATAGATCTCTCATATCTTCAGAAGTATTTAATTAAGTTCCTTTCCTTTTATATGATATCACATTCCAATTGCCCAGCCTGACCAGCAGAGTAATTTCCGAGGTGCAGTAATGTATTTTTTACTTATTTTTATTTCATAGGTAGTAACTAGTATTGAACTTCTTCATTTTATTGTACTCAGGCTTTGGCATTATAGATTTTAAGGTAGCTTTATTAATCTGAGGCTCCAAGTAATGAGTTTTAATGTGTTCCGGATTCCTGGGAAATAAAGAGGCAATCTTGACTCAGAATTGTAATGCATCTGGAAAACAATAATGCAGTCGTAATTAGAAAATCCTTCCATTGTTTGCTTTATTTCAGAATGTATTCAGCCCATTCATCTGACCTTAACTTATGCTTGAAGCCTCAAGTATTGCGTAGGAACTCTTAAGTTGCAGCATCTCTTCAGTAAATTTTTTTTATTTCTCAGACTTAGCCCTTAACAGCTGCCCTTCTGATTTCTACCATGGATGCACAAAGGGGAGGAAGAGGAATCAGTCATTTGGCTGGTGCTTGGGTGATACATGGTTTGGATGCCTAGCTGTTTAGTTTTTTAGTGTTAAGAAGGAGGGGAGCAAAACTGTAGGGAGAATCACGTCTCTAAGACCCAGCCTCTACTTCTGAGGCCCTACTTTCAATTGATATTAGTCTGGTCCTGTGGATTGAATGTCCGTTGGTGGCTTGAGTGCACCTGGTGCATGCTCTCCTCCAGGTTTAGTTGCATGCAGAAGGAATCCACTTAGTGCAATCTGACACCATTCCATAATGTCATCTGGAATGGAGAGATTCACTTCCAGAGGAGACTTCTGATACTGATATACCCAGAAATAATTGGATCAAATTTTCAGAGGATGTGCGTCCAGCATCTGACCCTGGCTAGGGGGGAGATTTCCATGATGTTCCCACAGTCGGTCATTTTGAATATGTCTGCTGTTGCATACGAAATACTTGGCTGTAAGATCCAAAATAATGCCAACAAATGGTAGAAGACAAAAATATACTCTTATTGTTCCTGGACTTAACATGAATATGAATGATTTATTTCAGGTGTTAGTCCTTGGAAATAAAAGAGACCTCCCAGGTGCACTGGATGAAAAGCAGTTAATTGAGAAATTGTAAGTAGCTGACCTGTGTAAAAAGCTGAAACACTGTGAAATTCAATATGTAAGAGAAAATTGTTGGTAGTCTATTTGTCGGTAACCAGCTATAACAGATTCCATTTTAGATTCTCAGATACTCCACTTTGAGCTCTGCTGACAGTTGAAATAGCAATATAGACTGATAACTGACTGCAGTAGATTTGAACCTCTCTTGAATATTGTTTCGGTTGTATAAAGTTGTTTCAGATAATCCTGTTTTCCCATCACTGAAGATCCAACTGCTATAGATAGTAACAGGCTCACTTACGCTTTTCAGAGTACACTGTAGTGGCAGTTTAATGCTCGAATGGCATTAGAGCAGAACCATTTTGAACTACTGTCTGTAAATTTAAGCAATTCAAATATTTCTGGCATGTATCCAAAGCATATACTTATGGATTACTGAAACTAACTGAAATTGATATATTGTAAAGGTAATTTTAAAGAAAATAAACAATTTTGTAAAAATGGCCAGTATAGCAATAATTTTACAGAATAGAATTCTGTATCTTAAATCACGTATTTTTAATCACTAAAGTGGAAGTGAAGTGAAGTGAGGTTTCAGTATAGAGGGATGGTCCAAAGGCTAGGTAACTAAACTGGGGCTTAGTAAACACAGAATTAGAGAATAGCTGAGGTTGGGATAGACCTCTGGAGGTCATCTTATCCACCCACTTGCTGAAGCAGAGCCACCTAGAGCTGATTGCCTTGGACCCTGTCCAGATGGCTTTTGAATATCTCCAAGGATAGATACTCCGCAACCTCTCTGGGCAACCTGTGCTAGTGCTCGGTCACCCTCACAGGTAAAAAGTGTTTCTTTATGTTCAGAGGGAGCCTCCCATGTTTCAGTTTGTGCCCATTGCATCTTGTCCTGTCACTAGGCTCAGTCTTCTTTACAGCCTCCCTTCAGGTATTTGTACACGTTAATAAGATCTCCTCTGAGCCTTTACTTTTCTAGGCTAAACAGTCCCAGCTCTCAGCCTTTCCTCATATGTGAAATACTCCAGTCTGTTAATCATTCTAGTGGCTCTTCACTGAACTCTCTCCAGTAGCTCTGCATCCCTCTTGTACTGGAGAGCCTGGAACTGGACACAGCACTCCAGAAATGGCCTCACCAGGGCGGAGTAGAGGTGAAGCATTGTCCCTCTTGTACTGGAGAGCCTGGAACTGGACTCAGCACTCCAGAAATGGCCTCACCAGGGGAAGGTGGGCCATTCCCCTCACTGAGTAGAGGGGAAGCATCACCTCCCTTGGCTGGCTGGCAACACTCTTCCTAAGGCAGCCCAGGATACCATTAGACTTTTTTGCCACATCGCTAGATCATGTTCAATTTGGTGTCCACGAGGGCCCCCAGGTCCTTTTCTGCAAAGCTGATTTCCCAGACACTCAGCCTCCAGCATGTACTGGTGATCCTCCCCAAGGGCAGGACTTTGCACTTCACTGTGTTGAACTGTGTGAGGTTTCTGTCAGCCCATTTCTCTAGCCTGTGGAGATCCTTCTGGATGGCAGCACAACCCTCTGGTGTATCAGCCACTCCTTCCAATTTTGTGTCATCAATGAACATGCTGAGGATACGCTCTGCCCGATCATCCGGATAATTGATGAAGATGTTAAACAGGATTGGAGCCAGTATTGATCCCTGGGTTACACTGCTAGTTACTGGCCTCCCACTAGCCTTCGTGCCACTGATCGTTTAATTAGTTTTCAGTCCACATCACTGTCTGCTCATCAGCTCATACTTCTTCAACTCGTCTATGAAGATACGGTAGAAAGTGTAAACAACCTTACTGAAGTCAAGGTATGCAATATCTGCTGCTGTAATTTTCATTGTAGGAGGTTATCAAGTTGGTCAAGCATGATTTTCCCTTTGTGAATCCATGCTGACTATTGATCACCTTCTTGTCCATCATGTACATGGAAATGGTTTCCAGGATTAGTCTCCATCACCTTCCTAGGGATCAAGGTGAAGCTGACCATCGTGTAGTTCCCTGGGTCCTCCTTCCTGCTCTTTCTGAAGAGAAGAGTGACATTTGCTTTCCTCCACTCTTCAGACAACTCTCCTAATCGCCATGATCATTCAAAGGTTATGGAGTGTGGCCTCACAATGACAGCAGCCAGCTCTCTCATCACTCATAGGTGCATCCCATCAGGGGCCATGGAATTTTCTGTGTCTAGTTTGCTTATGTATTCCCTGACCTGATCCTCTTCCATCAAGGGTACAACTTCCTTGCTCCAGACTTTCCCCCAGTCTCTGGGATTCCTGAAGGCTAACCTTGCTTGTAAAGATGGAGGCAAAGGTGGCATTGAGTATTTCTGCCTTCTCCATGCCCTGTGTAACCTGGTCCCCTGTCTCATTGAGCAATGGGCCCACATTTTCCCTTGTCTTCCATTTGTCACTTACATACTTATAGAAGCCCTTCTTCTTACATCCATCATGAAGCTCAATTTCATTTGGGCTTTGACTGTGTCTCTACATGCTTGGACAGTGTTTCCTCCCAGGTTACCTGTCTCTGCTTCCACCTTCTGTATGCTTCCTTTTTGTGACTGGGTTTTGCCAGGAGCTCATCATTCATCCACTTACACCTCCTAGCTTTTTTTCCAGACTTGTTAGGATAGGCTGTTCTTGAGCTTGGAGATGATCCTTGAATATTAATTAGCTTTCTTGGGCCCTTCTTTGCTACAAGGACTTATCCCATGGGACTCTTGAAAGCAGATCCCTGAAGGGGCCAGGTCTGCTCTCTTGAAGTCCAGAGGGGTCACTATTTAGTTCTCTTCTTTATTGCAGTCTCTTGTGTGAACTCAAGAGACTGTCTTTCTTGGTGCCTCTACTCCCCATCTGCTGCAGGAAGATAATCTGTTTCCTGCTTGCCTGTGTGCTCAGAAACTCTGAGGGGGATAGAGAAATTCCCAGAAAGAAACCGAAGTTACTTAAGAGCCAGTTTCTTCCTAGATGTAGAGGCGTCCTTTCAGTAGGAATCAGATCTGATATATTTAAGTACGATAGAATAAAAATCCTAAAGATTAATGGTGTGATAATTTGAGTACTGTTATTTGATTTTAAGAGTTATTAGAGATAAAAACTCTGAATTCTAAGTGCAAAGACTGAAAGGTGAATGCTAAGACCTGGTAATGTTACTTGGTTGCCACTACAAAATATTATTTTCAGCTCATGGATTTCTATGTGTCCTCGTTTTTATTATTCACTATTACACTGACTTAATGAGAAATTTGATTTTTTGTGAAATACTTTATAACCTTTTGATCTTTATAATTTAAGAAAATTGGGGGGTTTTGTGTGCAGTAGCATATTTTAAAAATTTAATATCTGATAGAATTGAACCCACTAAGTAAAAAGCAGAAACCAGGTAATTTAATGGAAATTTTTGTTGTCAGTTTTTGTGGAGTTGTAACACTACTTTTTTTTTTTTTTTTCTTTAGAAACCTTTCAGCTATTCAAGACAGAGAAATCTGTTGCTATTCGATTTCCTGTAAAGAGAAGGATAACATTGGTAAGCTTCTTTTTCTTAGATCATCATCAGTGTATACTTTGGATCAGATGTTAAAAATGTTAATGTGATTTGAATATCTAACTCTAATATGTAACTGAAAATTTCAATTTACTTTGAAAGATTTTGTTGCAAATAGTGCATGCAATTGTATTTGTTTTAATATAGAATTATGTATAATTTAAAAGTCACTCGTAGAATTATTTTGTTCCATGAGAAGTTAAGGAATTAATTTGACAGGGGCCTTGGAAAAGTATATTTAAAACTCAAAGCAATTGAATCCCTCACAAAAACCGTGTTCCTTCTGGGAAAAATAGTAACTGGATAGGAAGGCCTTCCAATTGTTAGGTTATACCTAAATAAAAAATTGTGTTTTGCTCCATACATTATTTTACTTTGTAAGCAGACCTTAGGTGCCTGTGACTGTATGGCAGTGTTCCTCAGACTGAGGGACTAGTGCTTTTGTCCTACTGGAGATGTACAGAGTGTATCCTGAAGTTGTATAAAAGCCCCATGAAATTGTCTCCCATCTGCCATTGCTTTTTGCTCTTTCCTCTCTCTCCCTCCTTTCTTCCCTTTTTCTGTCCCTTTGCTCTGTGATGTTCTCCCCTTCCCTTCCCTCCCCTCAGCAAGGCAGTAAAAAAAAGTGAAGCACAGGCTGAGCCAGCATCAGGAGTTGCCTGGGGCATGCTGCCTCTGCGCCACGCTTCTTCCCTGCATGCTGCTAGGACAAGTGGTGCTGGATGGGAGGGATACAGCCAGGGTAGATATTTATAGTTGCTTTTTGAGGAAGCCAGACTCTTCAGAAGAGCTAGGCAGCTCTGTAGGGCTCAGCTGAATGAGAGATGGTGGGAGTGGGAATGGGGAGAAAGCTGCTTTCTCCAGCAGAACGGGAAATTTCCATCCTAGGCAGAGAGGACCAGGTAGTGGAGGTGATGAGGAGACTATGGCATGACACCTAGGCTTCAGGAGGCTGCAGATGTCATCTGTGTGTAGGGACATGTTAGGCAGTGAGAGCTTCTTTTGGAAATGTTGTATAGCATTTAGGTACATTGGTTTCAAGGAGGCCAGACCCAGGTTTGCTGCAGCTTGGGGTGTAACATTTATCTCTGAGTGAGGGAAATACACAGAATATGCTGTTACACTGGGAAAGATTAGACTTCGGGGTAGAAGGACTGAGGAAGACAACATAGTCAGGATTATCTGCATAGATGAAGGGCAGTGAAGGTGATTGATGTTTTAGAAATGCAGTGCTTGATCCTCATCAAATTGGCAAGGCTGCAGTGGAGAATCTCAAAAGTGGTATTGTGACTAGAAGCTCGTAAAACCAGCTTAATGTCTGAAAGGATCCTGAAGAAAATAGATTCTGATTCTGGTTCATTTATATGGATAGCCTGGAGGCAAAAAGCATGCAGAAAAAGCATGCTAAGACTTGCAAATGGGAAGATAATTAAAAGAGTGATCTCTAATGCAGACCCGTTTAGATCACTTACTTGGGGAAGTCCTGGGACTAGTGATGAAAAAGACTCAAATCCTCCCTGAGAATCAGTCAAGTATCTTCCAGTGTAACATTGTGCCTAGAAAGTGTAACCTGGTTCCTGAATAGTTTGCCCAAAGAAATAAAAAAGGGGAGCAGAGTCTGTATATCACTTGTGTTTGGAACTCTGTGCACGTTACTGGAGCCCTGTGTGCCGTATTTTGAGCAAGACCTTGAGAAACTGAAAAGAGGTTGGGCAAGAACCTAGGGAGGTCAAAGGACTGGAAAACATAATTTATAATGAAAAATTATAATGAGAATATATTTAGCTTATTAAAGTGATGAAACTACTAGGCTGTTAAGGAGAAGACTGGGAGCTGTCTTCTTCCTCTGCATTTTTGATTGATGTCAATGCAGCTGAATGAGATTATAGTCATTTTTCAGTACAAACTGCAGCCTAGCTAACTGGTCTTATCAGGAGGTGTAAGGTGTGAGGCTGCCAGTTTCTGTGTCCCGAGAGAATGTGAAAGATTAGTATGTGGTTATTAGCTTTGTGTTAGATGCCATGGGATGCTTTTGTCTACAGTCTCGGTGCCACAGCTGGTCTGCCAGGATATTCATGGAGTGCTGTCTTAAACTTAGATGTGGCAACAAATTCAAATTTGAGGAGTTGTTGCCCCCTGACAACCTTTCTACCTTACTGACAGATGTTATTGCCTTGAGGCAAAAACATCTAATCTGCTCATGAATCAGTTTGTGAACTGCTCCAGTTTTCAGCCCAATGCGTTAGATTGTATCAGGAGGGGTACCAATTTCAGCTATCAAATTTTAGTTTAGTGTTGCATGTCTTTCAGAGACCTTGGACTCCTACAGCCTGCCTAAATGGCTTCTTAATGCTTTGTCAGGTGTTTGCCCTTCTCTTTCCTTCTGGTTCTACATTTCTGCCTTTGTTCTCACTCTGCATTTCATCCCAGTCTGGATTTTACAGTTCATTTTATGGTCATCTTAAATCTTTGCTTTTCCAACAGTTCTTCATGCGTGGCTTAGAGAATTTGATGTTAGTCATCATATTTCAAGAATACAAAATGCACATAATGTCAAAACAAACAAAAAAAAAAACAGGGAAAAAGCCCACTTGGAGTCTTAAGGACTGAATTTTTGATTAGGTGTGAATGAGAACCTGTGATTTCTGTGTTTTGTTTGTTTGGGATTTTTTTACTTTTATTAACTTGCTGGTGTTCTGTTGTCCCTTTACACTCAGCAAACAGCCTGTTGAGTTTTTAATTTTGTTTTATCTGTCCTGGCAGACATAACATTACAATGGCTTATTCAGCACTCCAAATCAAGACACTGTTGAAGAAAACTTTCACTGAAGATAACTCTTCCCCAATCACTTTGACTCCTCTCTATACAAGTAAAAAGATAAAGAATGCAACTGCATACTACCAGGACTCACTTTGATCATATTTGTTAACAGAAGTAAAACTGAGTTATAGCTTGTCTCTCTATCTTGGTTCTTTTTTAAAAATCCCAGTACCTGTCTGCCTAGGTGAAATTCCTGAACGCCTTAATACAAGACTGAAAGACATCAATACTTTTTTGGGCTGAAATGTTTGAGTTAATGCATGTGAATTGTCAAATACTTAGTAATTTTTTTCTAATTTGAAACTGAATAAACTGCACAGTGGAAACAGGTATGACTGGTTTTTTTTGAACATATATAATTTTTCATACAGATCATTTTCTCTGCAAACATCTATAGTTAATTATCAATAAACTTATTTGAACAAAATGCTGTTAATCACAACACTTCCAAATACTCTGATTGGTGAGAAGTCATTTCCAAAGTAATGTATCTGTAGTTGTCTAGTTTTTCCAGTCACTAATGTAAATGATTCATATGAATATTCTTTGGGAATTCAAAAATAAAAGAAATTCTAGACAATCCTGTACTCCTCTGCTGGGAGAGGAAAGAGTCTGGCATTACAGTGGATGTTTTTCTCTCTTAAACAGAGAGGGAAATAACAGAGAGAGAGAGAGCACATGAAAGCATGTGCATCATTTCTGACATTATTACCCCCAAAATTCATGGATTTCCTAAGCATTTTTACTGTGAATGAAATAATTTTCACAGCGCTTCTGGATTACTCCTTCCATTCCTGAACCGTCAGAATTTTCACGTATACAGCCTAACATGGCTGAGTTCTGCAGTAGGATTATTTCTTTTGAGAGAGATTAAAGGAGAAACTCACTTTTTGAATTTGGATGCATTGCTAACATCATACAGATTTCTGCTTCCGAGTGCTCCACTTAGAAGCAAGATGGAAAGTTCATGTCAAGTAATAGTAGATAGGCTTAAAACCTACGCAAGGTAGATGTCAGTGGCCAAGTGTTTCAAGGACACTTGCAGATCTAGGAGGGAGTTGTTCAGGGATGCTGGTCTAAACCTGCGGTAAATGAACTGATTGCTATAGTATTAAAAAGATTATAAGTAGTTTATGCAGTTCTTGCAATTCAGTACGTGAACTATAAAAATAGCAACTTTTTTTTCCGGTCTCTTTCAGGATGCTTTTCAGCTAGTGGCTCTGATAAGCTGCTTAAAACATGCTGAACAGGCTTGTTAAAGTACGAGCATGATAGTCAGGTTATAGCACTTGTTCGTGAATGTTTGCAGAAATCTGGCCAGAGGGGCTGTTTTTTCTGTGGTGACATGAAAATAATTTCACTATGTGTTAAGTGCTGAGTGCTCAGTAAATAAGTAAATAGATGTCCGGAAATGGAATGTTGGAAATGACCTTCCAAAATCTGACATGTAATCCACCTAGTGACATTTTGTATGTTGAAAAACCAGTATTAGATGGCTAAGGTGATTAATTTTGAACACAGTTGGTGCTCATGGACTTTTGAAGTAGTAGAGCCATTTTAAAAGGCATTGGAATTGCAGTCATTATGCAGAGAACACAAGAGAAGAGCCACCTGTACCAGTGGTCTCGATATCTTTCCTGTAGTTGTGCTTTTTGGTTGTAATGCCTCATCCTTCCAACCTACTATCGTGGCATGCAAGGTCATGCTTCTGGCATAGGAGCTCCGTAGCAAATCTTGCTGCATCACTCCTTAATCCAAACCTCTCTTGCCCTTTGCTGCAGGTGGTTTGTGGAGGTGGATGCAACCTTTCTGCAGGCTGGTTGGAACCAGACAGTTTTCCAAGGCACTACTGGTGAGAAAAGCAGTGCTGGCTCCTGTCCTTCCTGTGCTTTGCTCAATGTAGTATTTCCTCGGGAGGTGACCAAAGAAGTTAACTTCCTGTATGTGGTATACACATCACCAAGTACCACTGCAAGCTAAAGACAACCTGTGGAGGGAGGAGGTTAGGTTCCGGGTTGGCCGAATGAATCTCTGTGAATGAAAGTTGAGAATGAGCAAATTTTTATTAAAATCATCCCATTACACAACATATGCTTGGTTTTTTTTCTTCTTTTCTCCTCCTGTGTGACCTTGTATCCAAACCTAAGGCAACTCGGCACAGGCGCTGGCCTCGCTGTGCCCGTTTGAAACAGCCTGTCTTGTTTTTCAACAACTTGCCTTCAGGTAGTTTTTCAAAATGGGCTTAGCTCAAGATGAGTGTTTACTGTCACACTCAATAGATTTCTGGGAAACATGAATTGTAGCTGACTGACAACTCTGGCTTCTTATTTCTGAGACCGCATATGGCTATGAAGTGTTGGTATAGAGATCTAGACCACCGGAGAGAGTATTGCAGCAATGTTATTTGGAGAGGTCACAGACTTTTCTCTGGAGAGCAGCTTCTGTGCAGGGAGAGTCCCCTTGCTCAGACAGCAATATATAGTGCAGTGCCCTGCATGGATCCACATTAGATGTGTTTCAGAAGCAGGGAGGGCGTGGACATAACGTGGAGTGACCACAGTGTGATTGCTTTGGGGTTCTCAGCACTCCTGAGAAGCTGACTGCAAGATAGGGCACCAAAGGCTGCTGTTCTGCTTTGGCTTTGTTGGGAGGTGGCAAGTGCCATGGTGTGCTCAGTGGTCCTGATCCCAAGGCATGTGTGATGGTGATAATCTCGCCTACATGCACAACATCCTCCAGGCTATGGGAAGAGAGCAGTGTTGGGAGATACGGACAGTTGAGGAACTAAGACTAACCTTCAGTTAGTTAGCACAGCTTGTAACTCCAGACTCACAACATCAAGAGCCCTAAAATAACATGAGTGCAACAGTGATACAGACATGATTCCCTTCCATTTTTCCCTCTCCAAGCATTAACAGCTTGACTGTCACCCAGGGCTTTACAGAACCCTCAGGTGCCAACCATCTGGTTTACTTGCAGCGCATTTTATTTATTATTATTTTTTCCTGCTAGCAATGTAATTTTGCCCGTATTTCTTTTCCATTTGCATTATGTGTTGTAGAAAGCACATAAAATTTTAGTTAAATGATATTAAAAAAAACCAAATCAAAGTCAAGTTTTTTATCAAATGCACTATAAAACTTTTATTGCAGAGAGCAGTGACACATATATAATTTGTTCCTGAATAAGCTATTTTGTAGAACACTGGTACGTCACCTGAGCAGCATACTGAGTTGAATGCCTCTGTTCTGTGATTTAGGACAGGGTGTATGTACCGGCTGTCATGAGACTTTTGAGCAGGGCAATGGAATATATACAAGAATTGTGTGTAGTGACACCAAAATTTTAAAGCTTGTGAAACAGGACAGACTGTACCCTTCTGTCTTCTGCCTCTTGCTGTGGCCCGTACTGATCTGTAGCATGCACACTGTGATCCTGCAAGGGCCTGCATAACAAACTGCCTAGCTCAGGCCATAATGTCATGGTTTAAAAGCATGTAAGGGAGGTGGGATATGGATAAAGGGCTGGCTTCTGGCCATTAGTTTTCTGCACCATGTTTACCAGGCCAGTCCATGCCTTGGAGTTAATATGTGGCAGTCTATATAGTATGTCTGTGCAGCACTTCTTCCTATGGATTTGTCTTAAGGCAAGTGCCTTCAAAGAGCAGGACCCGTTTATACTTTTCCCTTCAAAGATCCTGGGGTACACGGACAGGAGCCATGGAGTGCCTGCAAACCTGGTCTAGAGCCAGAGGTCATCAGCATGGAGTGATGCTGGGCACGTTATGGAAAGTAAAGAAATGTAAGGAGAAATGTCCTTACATCCTCTTTACTCATGAGGAAGGATGGTTTTAAGATCTGTGGGACAAGGAATGAGAACAACATCATGTATCATCAAATGTGGTATGATCAAATTTTATTCCTGGCAATGGACAGTGTTGCATTGTGGTCCAAATCAAATTATTTATGTCATCATGCAGTCAGGCTAGAGGCATAGACCAACCATCACTGGTAAACCAACCTAGTATTCCAGGTTCTCAGAGGCTATGTTTATCTAAAAGTCACAAGGACATGGTGGAACAACTTTCTTCCTCCACTGCAGAAGACACTGAAATGGGACATCTGTGAGGAGTCGCACACTGATCCCTGAGCACAGACACAAGGTCTCCATGAGAGATGGAGTCTCTCACGGACTCCATGACAGACTGCAGTCTTTCAAGTCTGCACAGACTAGATGCTGTCCTGTTTTCAGCTTTCAGCAGAAGCCTTTCTAGATTACTTGTGACCTACTGGCAATGGCGTTACCCTCAAAAATACTGAGGTCTACCTTTTCTCTGCCTTTTCCAAGACAGCCATGTTCTCTTTCAACTCAGGCAAATGACCTCATATTGACTGTCCTGGCTTTAACCCTGGTTCAGTAGCTGTTTGCAGCACTAGCAGGGTCTAGCACATTTCAAATGGCTTGGCTTGTGTGAGAGTCCGATTCAGACTTAGTCATTCCAAGGGAGATCTGGGGAGGTCTAGGACTCATTTTTGAGTGTTTTTTGCACAAAATGAACAGTCTGTTCTGCTGTTCCCAGTCTCTCTGCACTTAACTGGCAAAATGGGCATAGTCCATAGAGTCTTCTCAGTGCTAAAGTCACCCTGAAAGAAAATATCCCATTTCTTGAGGGCACTCTGTCTTCATTGTGGCATCACATGCAGGATCACAAGAAGGAAAGGGAGTTTGGAACTGGGCTAACAAGGAATACTGAAGAGGAAATGCTGTCCAAGTGGTATGGATATGTGAGAAAAAAGAGCTTGTGGTATACCATCAGAGACAGTCCCTTCACCACTCCGGTTCTGCCCAGACTATTGATGGGCCTCATGCCATGGCCTGCAGCATTTTTGCTGTCTCCTAGAAAGTGAGCGTTGTACTGGAAAGGTCGTTACATGAACATTTTGCACATACATCTACCATGGAAGAATGTGAAGAATGGGCAGGCAACAGATCCTGTTTTAGTGGCACTGTTCTCTCACAGCAATCTCAAAATGGATAAACAAGAGTAATATAGCTGACCCATGGCATAACGATTATGGATGTTCTCAGCCTAAATACAGGGCACTTCTTTGTCTTCTTTGCCTTGGTCAGCTCAGTTTTTTAGCGAGAAGATACATTCCAAGAGCCATCCATGCAATACGAGCATTTGCAAGCTGAGTAGCTAAATGTTTCTTGGATAGTGGACTTTCCATGGAGGAAGACTCATAAATCAGCCTGGGGATATGGATAAGCCCAATGGGAGGTAGGTGCAAGGCAGCAGGCTGAATGTTCGAGGTGGAGAGGTCCC